GCCACCCCAAAGACAATGGCACTTCCTTGGGATTCACCTGTCCATGTGGTATTCTAAGTCCACATTTGCCATACGTATGTCTGTTTCCCCAGCTACCCAAGTACTGGCTGAGAGCAGGCTCGAAACGCTTATTTCCTTCCTATAATATCTAATACATGGTATTTTGCTCCAAGACAGCAGATACTCCGCACATAAGTGCTGGTGGATTAGGAAGCCCATGGTATTTCAATGCCACACATCGCTTTCATCATTAAACAACCAACAGACACTAGAGTAACTCAAAACACTCAAGAAGTAGGCACATTTTCATTCTCTGGAAAGTAGCGTGGCCTGCTGTAGAAAGCATCTAAAGAACACAGTTAACTTCGATCTCTACACTGAAATCTCAAAAATCCCTCAAGAATGACTGAATGTACACGGATATAGCAGGCAACATGCTCAGACCTTTAAAAAAGCGTTGGAATTTCCATATGTCTGCAAGCACAGGGTTCAGGCCTTACTGACTGTTCTGTGTGTCAGTTATCTACACCTCAGACACATTTATGTATCAAATACCATGTACTAGTTTACACACAGACTTGGATATCCACGTGCAATTCTCCCTTTTACAAAGCCTCAGATGACAACTGCCTACAAGATAGCAACTATACAGCATATCCATCTTTATAGAGGAAGCAAGTCCCTACCTAGCAGTATCTGATACTGGCAAAATCAAAACAAAAAGACCAGATGCAGAGTATTCAACACACAAGTCAAGATTTCAAAGTAAGTGGATGATATACCTGGATAGACTACAAAACATATTTGCCGACATGACACACGAAAAACTGTTCATATAGAAGAGCTGGCACAACAGTCAAGTTTTACGTTTTTCAGATGAAAACAACAACCAATATACCATTAATATACAGTGGCTGAAATACTATAGAAGCAGAGCATTGCAGGGCATGGTGGCTCACGCCTGTAATCCCAGCACTTTGGGAAGCCAAAGCGGGCGGATTACAAAGTCAAGAGATCGAGACCATCCTGGCCAAAATGGCGAAACCCCATCTCTACTAAAAATACAAAAAGCAGCTGGGTGTGGTGGCGGACACCTGAAGACCCAGCTACTCGGGAGGCTGAGGCAGGAGAATCGCTTGAACCTAGAAGACAGATGTTGCAGTGAGCCGAGATCACACCACTGCACTCCAGCCTGGTAACAGAGTGAGACTCTGCCTCAAAAAAAAAAAAAGCAGAGCATTATTATAATTCCATAATCAGAATGAGTGTTCTGTGGCACAGATTCAGGAGCGTTCACACATGTCCTTGTGAAGCAGGAAAGAGGACTGACAAAAAATCCTAAAGCAAGTTGTCCAGGTTCAAATCCTGGTTCCATTTCTTACGAGGCATATGACTTGGGGCAAATTTCTTCTCTGAGCTTCACTCAGTTTCCTTGTCTAACAAATGGGGACAAAATGGTACCTACTCCATCGTGTTGCCTTAAGTTTCAATGAGATGATGCCCATGAAGCTCTCTGAATATTGCTTAGCACATAGAAAGTTCTGGGTACATGTTAACTTTATTACATTCCTGTGACTTAAGTAAAAGACAGATCCTGACACTGGCTGCAAATAGAAACTAGCACACGAATCTCCACCAGGCTCACTTTCACGTTACTCTGTGCTGTTATATGGATTTCTCACTGCGAGAAAAGGCTGCTGTGGGAGGTCATTACCAAGAAATACCAGCAGGCCCTACGTCCTGCTTACTTCCTATAGCGGAGGTAAAATTACAACTGTAGGCCAGGGACCATCCTCTCTGGGAAATCCAGTAGGCAATCTAAGTGACAATTCTGCTATGGGCACATCTGTGGAAGCCGTGAGTGGGTGTGACGTGGTCATTCGTGGGCATGTTTTTACATTTTACCAGCATGTGACTCTAGCACAGTCTAAACGAGCCATTCAATGCAGAGTGACTTGTTCGTGTTGACGACTTTGAAAATGAAAAACATCAATATTTTCCTCTATTTTCTGGATCAAAGGAAAAAGTCACACCAGAAAAATCCAGGTTTTAATCATTCTTTCATTTTGTTTAGCACATTAATGGTTTATGAAAAAAAGGGGGCACGCATTTCTATCCTACTATAGTTTAAAAACCCTTCAAGTAACAAGACATTCAGAAGCTCTTTTCATTTCATCATCAAATAACTGCAAATTAGTTTATCCAAGTCTTAAAAGGTGTCGCTTAGGGAAAGATCTGGAACTCAGACCTACTTGCTAACATTTCTGACTTATTTGTTCTTTCTCTCCAGTCTCTGTTTCCTCGTTTCTTCCTGTACCTCACTTGCACATCTCCTTCTGTTTCTGCTTTTGGATCTCATACTTCTTACGTGTCTTCTAAGCTATCTTTTCTTTTTACCTTTTCATTGGGCTAAATTCTGTGGGGGCTAATTTAGCACATGAATTTTCAGTATCATTACTGACTAAAAGTCAAGTCTCTCCGGCCTGGCCAGCATGGTGAAACCTCATCTCTCCACTAAAAGTACAAAAATTAGTCGGGCGTGTTGGCAGGCACCTGTAATCCCATCTACTCAGAAAGCTAAGGCAGGAGAATCACTTGAACCTGGGAGGCAGAGGTTGCAGAGAGCTGAGGGCACTCCAGCCTGGGTGACAGAGCAAGACTCTATATCAAAAAAAAGAAAAAGAAATTCAAGTCTCATTTTTCCCTTTCCTTCTCCCCACTCTGCACTTGTCCTTTGGGAAGGACTGGTTTTTGGCGTCCAATAATGATATAAAGTGGAAGTAAGAGAGTGTAAACTACCAACTACACTCAGCTTCGAAGCAGCTTGCTGAAGTCAGTGCCGTCCCTGAGAACCTGGTCTCCTTCGCTGAAGACGGAAAGATCAGATTCCCACGCACTGTAGTATTCCCTGCCACAGGGTATAGAAACTAAATGGATTAAATGGTAAATATGTAAAATGAAAATCGTTTTGTATTATAGCATATATTGAAAAGTCATGATACATATATACAATATATATCAAACATTTATCAGTTATGTAAAGATATGTAATAAAATACAGATATTTATACACATATATAAACAAGTAATTTTACATCTTCTCTAATGAAATTAGTGATGATTCCATTATTTATTTAAGAAAACGAGATTTGGAGATTTTGCTGTGGTCTGATGAACACATTCTCATGACAAAAATGCCTCAATTTTGCAAGATAAACATTTGCCTGGTGGAAGAGGTCCTGGAGCAACATCAACTCGTTCAACGTCTCGTTATAATGATGAGAAAACAGAAAAGATCAGCTCCTAGACGGGGGCCGCTGTCTGAGTAGAGTCTGCACATTCTCCTCAGGCCTATGGCAGGTTTTCTCCAAACGGTCAGGCCTCCTCCCGATCCCAGGGCTGTGCACATTACATGAGCCGGCGTTTCTGCGTGGCTCCTATGTTGTGGGTGGGTGTGGGCGTGTGCGAGCGTGCCCTATGACTGGATGGTGGCCTCTCCAGAGACGGTGCTCACCCTGAGCTGCTGCATGAGGTTCCCGACCACCTGTGACCCTGAACTGAATCATCTTACTTGTTTTTAATCAACTTGATGTGTATGTATAGCTCACATTTATTTCAAAGTTTAACATTCAAAGTGCTCTGGGTCTTTGTTTATACATTTGATGATGTTTCCGTTAGCAAAATATGCCATATCCATTAGCCTACGGTAAAACTGGTTTTGTTATACAGTTTCACTTAAAGTCACAGTTTATAAGAAACTATTACCAATGTTAAGTGATGACTGATGACCACCTACTAAAGTGCCCAAGGGCCCAGAAGTCATAATGTCCCATGCTTTAGCTCATGATGTCGTTATTTCTGTGTGGTAATATTTCATTGAGAGAATCACCAGTATGTTAACTTTCCAACCTATGTCTATTATCAAAAGATTTTGGCATTTTTATTCCGATGCGGGGAGGGTTATACTTCCATTAAATTAAACTCTCTTAACAACAGGTTTTAAGGCCTTTAGCTCAAGTTTCTTTCCTGCTCTGTCAACCGCAGAAGAAAACTGGGGGATGCAACTACGTTCCCTGGATTTCACATATAACTGGTTCATCTTTGAATCCATCTAAAAGTAGGATTTGTGAATGCAGAACTATACACAAAACAAAAAACAGTTTTATCTCAGCAGCATTTAAGCACATAAACCCAGCATTAGCATGAGGCGCCACCACATATGTGAGGCCAGAGGGTCGGCCCTCTGACTACCTACCTGTCTGGCCCCTCCACCTCCCCATCTAACTGTTGTTCATTTGCTTGTTGTACAAACAACAGACACATCAGAGCCTAAATAAAAAGGGTCTGACACCACTTTTCCTTGATTTGCAGAGGTCAGTGACCCCAATTTGCATAATGAATTGCTTTAGAAATGTATTTTTTAAAAATAATCCCGAAGAGCGATGTCAGATTTACGTTCAATTATTTAATAACTTACCAAGATAGCCAGCCAGCTCCAGGCCAAATTGTGAAGTCGGTCAAATTTTGCGAGGGCTTTCTGAAATCCTTTCCTAGCTCCCCTTTATCCACTGCAGCCACCTATAAAATAAACACCCTTGGCCAGGCACGGTGGCTCACGCCTGTAATCCCAGCACTTTGGGAGGCCAAGGCAGGTAGATCACCTGAGGTCAGGAGTTTGAGACCAGCCTGATCAACATGGAGAAACCCCATCTCCATTAAAACTACTAAATTAGCCAGGCATGGTGGTGCATGTGTGTAATCCCAGCTACTTAGGAGGCTGAGGCAGGAGAATTGCTTAAACCCAGGAGGCAGAGGTTGTGGTGAGCCGAGATTGAGCCACTGCACTCCAGCCTGGGAAACAAGAGCAAAACTCCATCTCAAAATAAATAAATAAATAAATAAATAAACTAAAATAAGCATCCTTTTCATTCCCAAGCATCCAACGCTCTCATCCTGCCCTCCTCCGCCTTTCCCATCCCTCCCCCGGTTCCCCCTTGCAGCACTCACCCAGGCCTGGCAGGCTCTGCTACACACCCGACCTTCATTTCTTAAACCTAAGCAGTCTCCAAAAATTTACTCCTACTCCCAGTACTGACTCAAATTCTTTTATTATGTTTTCAAATTTTGTGTACAAACACAATAAGGAATAAACCCCTTAGGCTTGTTAACTCCTAGGCAACTACAAAACTTAAATAAATGTATAAGAAAAATTCAAGTAAAGTTATAAAACCAACACAATGTAACAATATTCATGGAATGCGGCAGAAGAAGTTTTGCTACAAGGAATTTAATTGGTCACTGCAGTGTGATAATGGCACTGAGACTATGGCCAAGGTTCTTATGAGCTAGGAGTGTTTTCCTTACTTGGGGCAGCAAGACAGGTCAATTCTCTTTCCACCCTATTAGACATAGCAAAAAATGATGTCACCCACCCCAATCTTGGTGGAAACATATCATTTATGAATCAATCATTAGCCAGACACAAAGATTTAGGGGCAGATGCAAATAAAAACACAGGTGCTGAAGTTTCATGGGATGACCCTGTTATGAAATTATCATTCAGATGACTCACAATGTGTTGATATCAGTTTATGACTGTTATCAAAACAAAAACACAAAGTTAAAATGCTCTAGCAGAGAAGTGAAGCCACTGGGAGTAGATGCCCTAGAATGAGGACTACAGGGCCCCAATAACAGATATTTCTCCAAAAACACTCCTCCCTCCTCTACTAAGTCCAAGCTACCATATGCCAAAGTGATCGAATGCATCAACCCTTCACAGGGAGCCATGGCCTAACTTCCCAGAATATTCCTCATTTAAAAGGAAATTCTTGGAAAAGGCCACAGTGTCTTCAAAGATCAAATTTCTAACTGCATAATTCCAGGCACTATGGTGGACTGGAGAGAGAGAGAAAAGAGATAAAGAGGGAGATCGAGAAAGCTAATTGAGAAGGAAGGAAAGGGGAAGCAGAAGCAGAATGAGATTGATTTAGGGACAAAGAATTTTGAAAGAAAATGCTTAATTCCCATTGCTTAATAATAACAGCGTGCTCAGGCACACTTCTCATCCCTCATTCAACAGCCACATGCTATTAATGACATTCTCGCAGCAAATAATTAGCGTTTGCCTGATGTTAGTATACCCGTACATATATGTAGGCACACGCACATGCACACACACAACACGCATAGCCTGTGTGCCATTTAGGTCCATAAAGTCAAGTCTGCAAAGCTCAAGACCACCAAACCCTCCCTTCTCTTTCTTTTCTGCCTTCTGGAAAAAGCACAGATGTGATCCTAAGAGCAAAAGTAGCCCTGGAATGACAAATTCATCTCTCATTATCTGCTGCTGCTGCCCAATCCCACAAGGCAGACAACCGTGCTGGGGCTGGAGGAAGAACAGAGATGTGTCTGCTCCTAAGAGGATGCTCACAATCTCACTCTCAACTGTTTAACCTCAGGCCAGTGGGAAACAGCTACAGTCTCCACAAATTTCACTCGCCACCTTTTTCCCAAGGTCTACCATGTGAAATTCATTTTAGAGCCTACACCTCTTAAGAAAACTAAATTGCAATGAAATAAGCACAAGAAACACTACTAGCAATAATTACAGCTAACACATAGAATGCCAGGCACATGTCAGGACTTTACCAAGGTCTTTCTCATTTAACCTCCCAACTATGAGGTGTAAAATCCTGCAAGTGATAGTGCTCTCTGTCCCATTTTAAATATTTACACATAGGCGCTCCCAGAGTTTAAACATTAAAACTGGGGTCCTGAAAATGTCATTAACACACTCTGACAGAAGAACAAGATTCGGGCTCAGTATGACATTATCTATTAATCATTCATTTGCAATTGACTTATAGTGAATAGATATAAAAATGTTTCTATCCATTAAAAAGATGAAGAACTTCTTTTAAAATATGAATACTGTATTAGTCTGCTAAGGCTGCCGTAACAAAAGACCATGGACTGCAGGGCTTAAGCAAGAGAAACTGATTGTCTCACAGCTCTGGAGGCTGGAAGTCCAAGATCACAGTGCCAGCAGGGTGAGTTTCTCCTGAAGTCTCTCTCTCCTTGTCCTGTAGACCGCCTCCCTCCTACTGCCTCTTCACATGGTGGTCCCCCTGAGCACAAGCATCCTTGGTGACTCTTCTGCTTAAAAGGACACCAGGCAGATTAGATGAGGGCTTACCCCAATGGCCTCATTTTATATCACCTCTCTACAGGCCATGTGTCTAAAACTAGTCACATTCTGAGGTACTAGGGGTTGAGACTTTGACATATAAATTACAGAGGGACATAATTCAGCCCATCATGGACACCAACATAATGTGTCAGCTAAGGAAATTGAACATTTGCAGCCCCTCTGTGCGTTTCTCACAAACCACATTCCTTGCTTCCTCAGGAGCAACCGTTCTTCTGATTTTTGTCTGGCATTTCTTGATAGTTTTACCAACTATGTTTGTATCGCTTCAAAATCTTACTTTTTAATTTCATAACAGAGCCATTGAAAGCAAACCAAATTCCCTCTAAGCAGCGTTTGGGCTGCATCTCTTCCAGATTTTGATATATTCGGGTATATACTATCATCATTGCATAACCTGTTCTAATTTCCCTTTTGATTTGTTCTTTGACCTATGCGTCATTGAGAAGTGTGTTGTTTAATTTTCAAAGGTAGGGAATTTTTGCGATGGCTTTGTTACTAACCTCTAATTTAATTTTTCTATGGCCAGAGAAAATACTTTGTGTGATCTCAATCCCCTTTAAATTATAGAAACTTGTTTAAAAGCTCAGCAGATTATCTTGCATTTGGAATTAAAATAATAAAATAATAATAGCATAATTTAGCATAGCTACATTCACCACTGAGTTTATTCAAAATATCAAAGCTGGGCACTACAGTGCACACCTGTACTCCCGGATACTCAGAGGCCGAGGCGGAGGCTGGAGCCCAGGAGCCAAGGAGTTGAGTGCATTATGATCACAATCACACTTGTGAACAGCCATTGCACTCCAGCCTGGGCAACGCAGTGACCCTCTCGCTCTTACCAAAAAGAAAAAAATAATCAGGGTTAGGTGCAGTGGTTCATGCCAGTAATCCCAACAGTCTGGGAGGCCAAAGTGGGCAGACTGCTTGAGTGCTGGAGTTTAAGACCAACCTGAGCAACATGGCAAAACCTCATCTCTACAAAAATCACAAAAAGTAGCCAGGCACAGTGGTGCATACCTGTGGTCCCAGCTACTTGGCAGGCTGAGGTGGGAGCACTGCTTGAGTCTAAGAGGTCAAGGCTGCAGTGAACCGTAACCACACCGGTGGGAAACAGCTATATTCTCTGGAGAATGGTGCGCTCCAGCCTGGGTGACAGCGTGAGACCCTGTCTCAAATTTTAAAAATTAAAAATTTAAAAGTCAGTCACGTATAGAACTGCTTAGGTAAGTAAAAGCAAGCTAAAATAATTTCTTTGGATAGGCGTGGTGGCTCACACCATCCTGCCCAAAGTAATCCCATCACTTTGGGAGGCTAAGCTGGGTGAATCACCTGAGGTAAGGAGTTCGAGACCAGCCTGGCCAACATGGTGAAACCCCATCTCTACCAAAAATACAAAATTAGCCAGGCCTGGTGGCGCATGGCTGTAATCCCAGCTACTGGGGAGGCTGAGGCAGGAGAATCATTTGAACCTGGGATTTAGCGGTTGCGGTGAGCCAAGGTCACTCCAGCCTGGGCAACAGAATGAGACCCCATCTCAGAAAAAAAAAAAATAAAGAATTTCTTTAATCAGGCAAGAATTTGATTACTAGTCATGGGGAAATGGGCAAAGTATTTCTTTTTAGGAATGTAAGTATTGTTTTTTACTCTTTGAGTTTTATGACTCAAAGAAGCTGAGAATAATGTAATCATAAAATTGTTCCTCAGAGTTTTACCATTTTTTAAACATCCCATATTTCAAATAGCAATCACTTGCTTTACCTACAGGAATCAAGTATTGGGAGATACCAAGAGACTAAGAAAGGAGTTTAAAACTTATCTTTTGGACTGGCATTTGATACTTCTTTAAGAAGAAGAAACTTGAAGGCCAGGTCAATAGGTGCAGCAAACCACCATGGCACACGTAAACCTACGTAACAAAGCTGCACATTCTCCACATGTATCCCCAAACTTAACTTAAAAAATTTTCAGAAAAACCTTGTCCAGCATAAAGGTTTATATTATAAAAAACATAAATGACAAAAACATAAGCCTATTTTCCAAAGGTTTCCAAATGTACTACAGAAGAAACAAACGTACAAAACAACTTTGATATTTCTAAAAAGGATAACTTAAAATAAAAAAAAAATAGTGAAAAAACAAACACTCAATGCTTTGCGTTACTTCAAGAAAAACCTGTTTAGTTAAGCACATTTTCCCCCAAAGATATTTAAACACCAAGATTCAGAAGTAAACCTTATTTAGATGAGTTTCTAGTCAACGAATTGACCTACATAATCTGAGTTACAGAAATGAAAACGCTAGGCAATATCCTCGAAGGAAGGGGCTAAAAATGATTTAAAATTTTTCAGCCTGGGATAAACATGAACTAGAAGAGGCATAAATTTTCCTGAACACTTTGTATCACACAGCTAAGTACAGAGGATATTAATGTTTAATTTTTAAAGTTCTTTAAAAATGAATTTCGGTAGGTGTTACAAAAAAGGCAAGCTCTGATCTTAACCATCATCATGGTAAGTGTTCACGTGTTAACAATCAGCTTTCAAAACAAGACTTTATAGATGCAGCTCTCGGGTTTACAACCCTCTGACAAGGTGCTGTTAGGAATCCTCTGTGTATAGAGCTGTTGGGCTCCTACTGGTTCAAACATGGCTTTGGCCAGCCTGTGCTAATGAAAACTCTCCTTTCCAAAGATTCTTATCGGTCACTCTCAGACAAATCACGTATTAGGTCAGCAAACAGCCTCATGCACTAGATCTGAAACCGTACATTTTTCAGGTATTACATGAGATTTTCTTATACAGTTTCCTATTAAAATGGTTTAAATTCCAAAGCAAGCCTTGGGAAACTGAGCTTACACTATCTGGAGCCTTTCTACACCATTGGGCAATGGGACGAGAATGCCGCAATGAAAAGACAAAAGTAGTTTTAAATTCTCACATTGGAAAAGCAAATTAATCTTTACGAGCGAATACAGACAAGCTCTTTGTTATCATGAACTGTGAAATATTCAGGTCTTTTTTTTTTTTTTTTTTTTGAGACAGAGTCTTCTCATATCACTGCGACCTCTGCCTCCCAGTCTCAAGCAATTCTCCTGCCTCAGCCTCCCAGTTAGCTGGGATTACAGGTGCCTGCCACCATGCCAGGCTAATTTTTGTATTTTTTGTAGAGATGGGCTTTTGCTATGTTGGCCAGGCTGGTCTCGAACTCCTGACCTCAACTGATCGGCCCGCCTCAGCCTCTCAAAGTGCTGGTATTACAGACGTGAGGCAGCAGGCCCGGCCAACTGTGAAATATTCTTATGACAATTTTGATTTTACAAATTAGGTTTTAGTCATAGCCTGCAGGTATTTTCCTGTTAACTCCTGTCAAATGACAAAGGAGAACTGATTTCTTTTAGTGAGGTATCCTTATCAATGGGAAAGTCTACATGTTGATTGATGGAGTGTTAAAGAAAAGGACCATTAATTGATTTGTAAAAAATTAAGTAAAGCAAAATCTCCACGTATGACCACAAATTAAAGCTCTTTTTTCATTGGCAATTTTTTTTAATTTAGGAATGTTTAAAGCAGTCCAACTCAATCATCACTCTACTTATTAATAAAACACAGCTTTATTTCAGCAATTCCCACTGACATAGCCCAAGTTAAAGGTCATTCAGCATGGTCATTATAATACTCAATAAGTTAAAAATTTGAAAGTCAAATGGAAAATATTTAAAGTTACACTGTGCTGTAATGGAAAAGTCAGACTCCGCAGTCAGGTGATCTAAATTCGAATTCCAGTTTGGCACTTACTAAGCCCTGTACTAAAGCTGTCTGAGCCTCAGTTTTCTCACCCCCCAAACGTGCAAATCCCTAGCTTTGGACAGTCGTTGTACTACATAAGGTAATAAATGTAAAATGTCTGATATACAGCATAGAATACAATAGCGCTGGCCAGGCGCGGTGTCTCATGCCTGTAATCCCAGCACTTTGGGAGGCCAAGGAGGGTCGATCACTAGGTCAAGAGAGCGAGACCATCCTAGTCAACATGGTGAAAACCCGTCTCTACTAAAAATACAAAAATTAGCTGGGCATTGTGGTGCGTGCCTGTAATCCCAGCTACTCAGGAGGCCGAGGCAGGAGAATTGCCTGAACCCAGGAGGCGGAGGTTGCGGTGAGCCGAGATCGTGCCATTGCACTCCAGCCTGGCAGCAGAACGAGATTCCATCTCAAAAAACAGCTCTTCATTAAATAGCAATTTTATTAGTATTATTGTTTAGAATAAAACCTTAAGAATATGTTATTTTAAATTCTATTCTTTTTTCATGCCCCTATAAACAGGCAAAGTAAAATTTGTATTCCATGGGCTTTCTTGGGCTCTTCAGTACAAAAAAAAAAATCTACCTTTTTTCCAAACATATATTGGCTTTTAAAATTGTTGTTTTTGTTTTCATAAGGAAACTAAAAATAATACTGGATTTTAAAATGTATTTATAATAGGTAGGAATATATTTCTGAGGCCTTCCCATTACATGGATTTTAACTAAGATGAATTTAGAGCAGTCAACATGTCCCACTGCTGCTAAGTATTTACCACAACCTCAGCAAAAATGAGATGAGCCACCAAGTGTCAGGGTGACTGCAACCTGGACTCAAGCACAAGTTAATTGCTCTTGAATTCCCCTTCCTGGAAACACTGATGGAGAAGCAGAATTGGTGCCAGAAGACTGGAGATGGGGGAAATGAGTTCCCACTTTGAAGAAGACAGGAAGGAAAAACAGAAACGAAGAGAGAATCCCAATACTGCACACCACCAGTGCGTTTACTGTCGATCCTGGACAGGATTCTTGGCAGAGTGTTAAAAGAATGGGTTGTGGCTACTCAGAAAAGCAAGCACCAGTCCTGGCGGACCACGTGGGTTCAGCAGGGACGAAGCAAACCTCATTTCCTTCTCTGACAAG